TAAGGAAATACGTCTGTGTGGAATGGAGATCGAAGTAAGTTATTTGAATACAACCTAATATTTATTTCAAACTCCACTGTGAGAAAGGAAATTGGGTCATCACTTTCTTGCAACTCATTCCCTTTCCTAAGTAATAGTTAGAGCTTTGTTAAGAAGAGATGCTTAAGCAGGGGCTCTCAAAGTCTCCTCAAAGATTTATCATTACAAGGTGATGTCCTCAAGAAATACACATTTAACAGGTGGCAATTCAGTAAATCACAGAGGAAGTTTACTTATAATTTATTTTATTAGAATTTTGTTACTTCACTTCTAGGTTTTCATCAGTTCGCTTTTATTTTTTCTCTCTGTGCTTAGTGTATATTTCAAAGAAGCCCACTATCAACTGCCAGAACTGCTGAAATTTGGTATCACAATTTGAAAGCTCCTTTTCAGGCTTCTGCTGCCTTTGCTTTTATTACTTTCACATCCTTTTTTGCTTTGCTTCTACTTTTTAAAAGAAGCTATATTTGTAGTAGGAAATAAAATACCCATTATCTCAGAAAAAAACAAGAACAAGCCAAAGGACTGAACAGGGTAGTCTTTGAAACAAGAGAAGTCTTGATGAGCTTCAGGCATAACCTGAATTTTCAACATCTTGAACTTTTTTTTTTTCGGTTCAGGCTTCACCTTTTTAGGGTTCCTTCTTCTCTTACCCAGGTGGCTCTGAGGCATGGCCATATAGATTCCTAAGGCATCAGCTCCACAGTTAAGGCAAACCCACTGCTTCTAGAATGTGTATTAAATCTGGAAAGTACCCAGTAGCATTCAGGAGTGTGTTGTCACTAGGAAGCTGTTAATCACCTGTGGATGAGTTTCTGTAAGTCCTGGCTATGCAATCTAATGCAAATAACTTGAAGATTAATTTTGCCCTTTTGAGTATTCCTGAAGTCTGTAAAACACATAGCTGTCTCATTATTGTTCTTCAGGTTTTCCTCTGTTGCACAAAGCTATTTGCATGGCTTGGATGCAAGATGAATGGATTGGTCAGCAACAGATCAGAGGTGGAATAGGGCACAACACATCATGTGTGGTTGTCAGGTGTTAGCACAATGAACAGGAATCTGAGGAAGCCTGAACTCACTTTACTGAATACTTCTGCCTATACAGAAAAAGCCCATCATCAATGCTCATAATGACAGCAAGCACTAGAGCTGCTTTCAAAATTCAGTTATAACTTATCTGAGTTCGCAGCAATAAAAATGGATACTGCAGCCATTTGCAATGAATACCCAACAGACCACGTCCAGAAAGACCTAATTCAACCAGAAAGTCCCTAGAGGCATAACTTCTCAGAAAGTATGAAATGTTGGGGATAGGGGCAGCTTGAAGTGAAGGGTACAACTGAACTGTTTTGAGTCCATCGGAATACTGCCAATCTGAATGAAGGACAGAAAGAAAAAAAAGGAAGTCTGCCACGCTTTTGCTTCTGGTATTTTATACACAAAGACAACAGTGGTAGGAAACGAGTGCTTCACACTCTGACCAACTTCCTTCTTATCAAACAGGCTACTACAGAATGCATTTTATTTATAAAAGGCAGCACCAAACTGTTGAGACAGGTAGACAGTAGACATTAAGAAGGGGTGGACTATCAGCACTATTTAATTTTTTATTAGATAATGTTACCTTTGATAAGTGTTGGCAAATAGCCCTGTTGTATCAGCAGCTAGGTGACCTGCAGAGGGTTTTATCAGCAGAACTTGAAATTAAGAACATCTTTGCACTGAAAGCAACAGAAATACACTTGCTGTACTAAGCAAGGATCCTACTGCATAAATGAGAAGAAATGTTTCAAATGAAAATTCAGCTCTTTGTATGTTTTCGTTAAGTACACAGTGTTTATAATAAACACTCTGCTAACACTTGTAGCAACTTTCCTTACACAGTTAAAGGATCACTAAAAATGTCATGTTTCCTTCCAGTACCTAAAGAGGGCCTACATGAAAGCTGAGGCCATGTAGGGTCAGGGCAAGGGGCTTTAAACTGGAAGAGGAGATATTTAGATATTAAGTATTAGGAAGTTCTTTACTGTGAGGGTGAAAAGACAAGGGCACAGCTTGCCCAGAGAAGCTGTGGCTGCCCCATCCCTGGCAGTGTTAAAGGCCAGGCTGGACAGGACTTTGAGCAACCTGGTCTAGTGGGAGGTGTCCCAGCCCATGGCAGAGGGGTTGGAACTGTATGACCTTTAAGGTCATACCAAACCAAACCATTCTATGATCCTATTACTTAAACTCACTTATGAGTCACATGATATGTAAGAAATTAAATGTTTTCACTTCCTGCAATAATACTTGGTATTTAGAGTGGCTTTAGAAGTGTGTGTGTTTATATATATATATGAAATGTTTTCCTTGTTACTATCTACCTCAGAGGAGAATGTTCACAAAAAGAAAATAGGAGATAAGTTACAAGATGAGACATCAGACTTGACAGCATTGTTAAGCAACCTCTTAACTCACTGAAGTGAGGTCACTTATGTTGCTTTTAAGGTACTTGAAAGTTTACATCACTCCCCCAATTTTTGTCATAGTTACTAAAAGCGTGGGCAGCAAGTCAAGCTTTTCAGTTTAAAACTGCTTTTCACCTCAACATCAGACTTGCCACATTACGCCAGTATCCCTGCTTCACCGAAAGTCCAAATCTCTCAGTTTTGTTATAAGCTGCTAAGTACAGATGATCTCTGGTGTGCCAGCACATCTGTTGGCCCAAAACATTGGTCATCACAGCAGTAGCTCTGTAGACAGGCGCCCCTACAGAGGCATTACAGCAAAGTTTAATTAGGAAAATCAAAGTTAAAAACAAGTGTATCGTTCTTGGTTTTCACAAGGGCACAGCAGTGAAATGTTGAAGTCCAAACGTCACAGCTGGACAGGTAAAGGCCAATATTAAAGAAGGTGTAAGCACAGCTCAATCAATGGTGTTGACAGTGTTGAATGCCACAATTCCAGGCTATTATCTTACCCATGATGGAGCACCTAAAAATGGGTTAATTTCTCAAACCGTTGTAATAAGAAAAACTGCAATACTCTTTGCTAGTCATAAAATAAAGATATATACATTTTTTGATAGTAAGTCCTAACTTGTTGCTGCTTCTGAAGATTAAACTTAATCACCATTCCCATACTTTTAGGCACTCTCATGCACTGTGTTTGAAGCGACAATACAAAGAAACAGATTTTAAACATCAGTCAGGCCTGATCAGCAGTACAGGTAAGAGTATTTACCCCAGACTTCTATGTCTCAATGACCCCTTGGTGCACAACCCTAACAGACAGCCATACGCTTTAAAGAAATGCACGTTTTTCATTCATTGGAAAAATGATGTCTTAAAGAAAGGCTTTTCTACACAAAGGTGGGAAACACACCAGTAACAGTTAATTTCACTGCATAAATCTTCTGCAGGAGAGGCCACACAAGCCTCAAGCATGTCTGTGTAGTAATGAAGCCCTTCCAAAAGTGTCCCAGTCAACACGCATGTCCACCAGTTACAGCTCACCCTCTGCCATGGTCATGCTTCCAGTTTGTCTTATCTACTACTGTTAGTCCCTCACAGATGTTTACATATATTCCTGGAACTCATTATTTAGGTACCAAAGGAACCAGTCTTCCTCTACCACATTATGCAAAGCAGTTTTACATGTTCGTCCTTAGCTTTATCATAAAACTTTAATATAGCAAGAAAAGTACTACTTCTGTATAAATTTGCATTAGTTTCCTTACTCATAAGCTCCAGTTACTCAGAGGTGTTCAGCTACATATAATCAAATCTGTGTTTTTCAGCACAGACTTTTCCTCTGGGCAACTGCACTTAGAACCAACGATTTCAGTGTTGCTCCTGGACTGCCTGCTTACCTGCAGCTAACTCTCAAAATATAAGCAGGCTTGATTTTTATCTTAAAGGAATTATGTAACACATTTTTGTCCTCATTTCCATATAACAAAACAATTTAACTGTTGCTAGTTACGCTGTACTTAAACTGGTTTGAGAACTAAACACTATCCTTCCATGAGAGTGCAAGCCGAACACAGATGCCCCTGCTGGAATACTGACCTCCAAATATAGCTCCTTATTTGCTGCCAAGCACCGTCTCTTGCATCCTTTCAGTACTCCAGCCAAAGAAGAGAGTCATCAGTACACATTATTTCTATAAGTAAGTATAGGCAGATTGTTAACACTGGCTGTGACTGGCATCTTGAGGTCTGTGTGTTGCTCACAGACTTACAACCCCACAACCCAAGTAAACTCAATTCCATCACATTGTAGTGATGCGAAATGCTCCATGCGACAACATATTACAAGGTTTTGCATTAAAAAAATCTCAGTAAAGGTACAAAAAGGAAGGTGAAAGAAAGCAGTTAAAAATAAAAGCTGTACTGCATAAGCCACTTTTTGGAACTGTATTCTCACTGGTAGAAATTCACTCTCATTCAGTTGATAAAAGCAAATTAATTCATGAATATATGTGCTTTAAAAGGGCAACAGTTAAATAATTTTTAAAGAATTTCTTCAAAAGCTGGGAAGCAAAAAATAACAGCAAACTGAAGTTAACTCCAGTCATGGAGCCCAGAAAATGAATACAGTAATTAAACAGCAAGTGAACACTGCAATAAAGAGTAAATCCTTCCCTCCTCTCTGTACTAACACACAAAAGCATTAACTTAGCTATGCTAAATGGCAGTTTACTAGACAGCAAAATATTTTTTAGTGAATGTGTTTAATGATCCTCATTTCTTTTATCAGTCTAATATTGAGTGGCTCACATAAAACCAAAGTGAAAAAATTCAGGACTAACTCTAACATAACTGGTATGCTGCTGCACTGTCCCACCTTCTCGTTGGTAACTAAGCTCTTGAGCTAAATTAAACGGAGCTCAAGAGCTTTGCAGAAACCTTTCACTCAGATCACTTACCCATTAACACAGAGGACAATATGGTAAAAGACCTGCTCATGACACACTGTGTTCCCTTCAACTTTGTTTATTGATGTACTGAACATGAAAAAGTACAAAGGATCCAAACACAAAAGAAAACATGTACAACCTCTTAAATACTCAACAGAATATATCTTCTATTCCAACAGATGTGAATTAAGTCATACTATACAACTTCAAATAAATACCAGCCTTATATTTTACTAAGTGCTCTGATAAACACTGTAAAGTGAAGCCCAATTTACACGCCTTCTCATCAATGCCATTGGTTGCTACAGTAGTATAGGAAAGAAGCATGTAGCTACTGTTTTCCCCACACTCGAAAGTTTGTGATTTCTACAGTATATACAATTTTTAATGCACAGGATTAGCTTTAACAATCTAAATGCACCTAAGAATGAGGAAGTGCTCAGGAAGCCAATTGAGTTTTGAATAGCATTGAGTGGGTCAGCATGAAAACTCGCTTATTCACTTTAGCACGCACTTCACAGTATATGTACTGTACTATACTGAAAAATTCATAGCTACAGTTTAAAAGAATAAGAACCAAAAGCAACTGCAAAGATAGTGTACAACTATGTTATGCATAGAACATTGCGTTTTCTAAGGGGAAGCATATGAGCATCTCAGTTTATACAAAAAGCAGGACGTAACTATGGAATTGTCAGTGCATCCTGGTGAAGGCATCAAACCCTCAGTTTTAAAAATTTAATTATAAGCTAGATGCTAATTAGAAAATATTCTGTATTTTTTCCTTAAATTTCTTCAATACATGGTAAAGATTTTTTATATTTCCCCAAATAATGATTTAAGTATCATACAAAGTTAAATTTCAGTAGTATACAGGTGTTATGGGTTTTGTATGAAAAATGCAAGGAAATTTCAAAACCTATGACTATACTCATTTTTAATCACAAACATATTTATAAACAAAAATGTAGCATCACCATAAACAGCTGAAGCTAGACTATCTACAGACAAAAATAGCAACAGATCTGATGCACTGTAAATTCAAGTCCTCAGGACAACAAAAAATGAATAAGCAGACCTCAAGTAACAATGTTAATGCCATTTACAAAGAAAAAACTCAATACAAAAACATTCAGAATTGAGCATCACTTGGCATGTAACTTGAAAAATAAACTAAAATCAAAATTAGCTGAAAGGTTCATAACTCAAGGTCTTATTTACATTACACAAAGCTCAGGTGCTAGCCTTGAATATAACTTTCAAAATACCTCCAAACATACCCAACTTAGGCCACTTCTGCTGATTTGCTACTGCGCAAACCATGCTCAATGTCTCTTCTTAAGACAAAACAATTCTTCAAACAATAGCAAGTACATCACTAAACACCATGAGCTCCATCTGAAGGGAATTCTTTAGGAAGAACAGATTTTTTTTTCCCCATTTCTCAGTATTTTAAGTTTCCTGCTTGCTCTTATATTATTTAAATTTTAATTTGTTTCAAAATCACAAATTAATGTGAGCCACCTATCACTTAACCAGGATGATCCAAGACTCCACTGATGATTACAAAAATGAAACCAACAGTGCATCCCATTGACTCTACGTCTTAAGACAAAGGTCTCAAAAGTATCTCTACACCATAAATCTTTCTAAATTTTCCCCAGCAATTGCAAATTTCCTGGTAAGTTTTGAAAGCTCATTAGGTGTCATATGAAGAGATTTTTCAAAGTATTCAAGTCAAAATATTTGTTCCAGGACCAGTAAAAAGTTTCTCCAAATTTTTTTTTTTCCTTTTTTTATAAAAATAGATGCTTTTTTAAACCCACATCAAAGAGGCTCTTATCTCTTTGGCAAGGTACTGCTTTACGAAAAGTTCTCCAGTATTCTTACAATAAGCTTTTTATAATGTGTTCCCACTCCCCAACCCAAATGATCATTATAAAATAAATACTGCTTATAACTTTATAAATAAACAGTAAACTTCAAATACTTTTACTAAACAACGAAACAGTAATGCACTAAACTGTAAATTAAACACAAGGCAAATAAAAAAGTAACAAAATAAATCACAAAGCCTCACTATTTGCTCATAGGTTGAAGGCAGTCATGTAAAAAAAAAAACAATAAACCAAAAAACAACTTCTTTCCTTAACTGAAACATTTCAGAAGGTCCACCTTCTTCAAAGAAGGTAATAGAATATGCATTGTGACAGGTAAAAACCCTGTATCTCTTGTCAATATTCAAACACAAAAGATATTTAAGAAGTTTTAATTCAAATATTAGCAATAAAAAATCTCACATATTCTTAGGATGCTAAGTAGTCATTTTATCCCCATTTCCACACTGACATACAACAAAGGCATTTACGAATTCATAAAGCATCTTGTAAACTGCCTTTGTTGTATAGTTTTTCATGTGTTAATGCACTGAGAATAACTTTTTAGGCTTTGTGTGTTTTGTTTGTTTTGAAGGAGACCTGCAATACTCTGTCCCCAAGGCGATATCCATTCAGGCTAGCTATTGCCATAGCTGCCTCATCATAGTTTGTCATAGTCACAAATCCAAAACCTTTGCACTTGTTGGTGTTAAAGTCACGGATGACTTTCACATTGGTTACGGCTCCAAAGGGTCCAAACATTTGCCAGAGGATACTCTCATCAGCATCAGGGGCCAAGTTGTATACAAAAATGCACCATCCAGTTCCTGCATGTCCAGGGATATTAATTCCAGCCAAACTGGTCATTCCATCAATGGTCACTGGAGGAAACCTACTGAAGAATGGAGGAAAACAAAACAGAATCCTGAAGTTCACAGAAAATTCCACCAAAGACATGTCAAAACAAAAAAAGATGATGATACAGGGCCTTTCTCAGCATGAACATACTGGCCAGACTAATAAGGTAACATTACAATATTTACTCTCCCACACCCCAAATACTATGTACAATACTATACACAAGTAGGAGAACAGCGCTAGGTCTGTCTGAAATAAAACACCACACAAAAATCAAAAGAAAAGCATGCTATAAAATCAGGGAGGATTAACAAGTCATTTGAAACAGGAATTCCAGGGATCTGCTACAAATGGTTTCTCTCTTCCATGCACAATGCACCAAAATGAACAATCTGAAGTCTCAACATGCAAAAATCCAACAAAAGCCTTACTGAAAAAGGAAAAGTACACCAAATAATAATTTGGTTATTATGAACTCGGCAGTCCTTTATTACCTCTTTACTCCATAAGCCATATTGAGCAGATTGTCCAACCTGCAAAACATTTAGCATGTGTTCAATCTTCAGACTTTTCCACCCTTTAGTCTTAAGGAAACTTGGTATGTTACTGCCAAGGTCCTTGCACAGTACAGAACTTCATGCTAAGTGGAAGTATCACCACTGAAAGAGCTGTGGTACCTTATTACACCTGATACAGTTAGCAAATGCAAAAGAGATGTTCTTGTGTAGCATCCACAATTATAAATAGTTCAATTCAAAGTGCCACTATTAAGTACCACTACTTAAGTCAAATACTCTAGCATAATGTTAGACAGTGATCACCTTGAAATTTTCCAGATTACTAACTTGTTGTGGATAAAGACTTTACTCAGGTTTCTGACAGTCTGCTGACATGAATACCCAGAGGGATGCAAGATTTTTAATCAGTAACAAATGTTAGACTATGAACTGCAAATAAAAATTTATTTTCCTACTCTTTTCCAGAATAGAGTGTTTTTAGAATATATATGCACACGCACATCTGTTAGCCCTTAAGGTTCCTCCTCCATGCGTTTCTTCTCCCAAACTGCTGAACTGCAGTGTGCCACCACAACTCTAAACCCTTTGTAATTACCTACCTAATACCCAGAGCATGCAGTGCCTACCAGTCCTCTTAATGTTATTCCTGAAGTCCACTTTAAAGAAAATTTCTACCCTAAAGAAGCTCTGGTTTCTTCCTGGCAAAGTCCACACATGTGAAGAGAAAGTCTTATTAAAGGCTCTCTTCAGGACTCCACAAAACATAAATTTCAGTAAGAAAGAGTACACTTTAATTTGTAGCTTACACCTACCTTACAGATCTGTACCTTACTGTGATTTCTCTCCAATAATGAGCTATGGGATTTAATAACAATTACTGGTATACAGAATCCAAACTCAAGTCCTGCAGCAGTATAACTAAACTTTTGCACAAAAAGCCTTAAGAAAAAAATACCTGGTCTTATTTGCAAACAAGTAAAAGTCTCAAACTACAGAGCACTATGATTCTGCAGTGAGCAGGGCTTGTGGAAATTGCTGACAAGAAAGCAAGCCACTGAAAACCTAAAAAGGAAATTTTAAAAAATGCCTATTATCAGTAGAGTTAGTATGGATGACAGAAGTATAATATTATTAAAACTTGGGGGTGGAAAGGAGGGTGAAGAGTTCCAGAAACACCATTTACAGGTCCTTGCTATAGAGCACTGGGCTGAAGACTTAATACAGTAACGGCATCAAACTGTAATAGTTTTCATCAGTTACTTTGACGACTTAAAAATATTCTGGAAAAGTTATCAGGGGCATCCACTGGACAATTTTTAAAGATGCTAAAAATTTTTAAAGATGCATCTTATTGAAACTGAGGAACAGTTATATATAGCTACTTTTCAAAGTCCAGATCAAGATTTTTTCTTAGTAAGAAAAAAGGCAGTACTCTAGTGACCTTATTGTTCTTTATTACTAAAGCCTATGCTAATTCTGTTTTCAGGTCTCTGCCAACCACTACAGAGACAGGGCAAGTACATCAGGCAATCATGTCTGAAAAGTCAACAGCTAAGATCTCTTGCAAGTGAAACGTGAAGGACCTAAGTATCAGTGCAATCTGATCTACACAGCAACAGAACTGGAATGCTGCAAAACCAGTAAAGCAAACAACTAAATAGACAAGAGACAATTTGCCTTTATAGCTATAAAAACTTAACATTTGGCAAGGCTGCCTCTTTTAGAGTGGAAACAGATTCTCAAAAGCCCTCCCCAGAAAATTATATGAAGAAAAATACCTAATTTTGGCTGCAACCCCAACTTACCTTTTGACCAGTCATACTTCAACCTTACTCTTCCTGGAAATCTTCAAAGCGAGAAAAATTTTAATCTCACTCACTACAGAACTGGTATCTACTCAGTGCTTTTTGAACCATTATACTTTTAAGTGGAGCAAATCACAGTATCTATTATGGTTGTTTTAGGCATCACTTCACACTTCATTTCTCAAGAAAAAAACCCTACCCAAAACAACAAAACAACCAACCAAACAAAAAAATAAAATCACACCCAAACAACAACAACAAAGCCACACCCCAAAAACACAATTTTCCCATGAAATTGAAATGGTCCTCATTTAGCTGGCATAGAGTTATTTTTCTTCCTAGTAGCTAATGGGCTGCATCAAAAGGAGCATGACCAGCAGGTCGAAGAAGGTGATCCTGCCCCTCTACTCTGCTATTGTGAGACCTCACCTGGAGTACTGTGTGCAGTTCTGGTGTCCTCAACATAAAAAGGACACAGAACTGTTGGAACAAGTCCAGAGAAGGGCCACGAGGGTGATCAGGGGACTGGAGCACCTCCCATATGAAGACAGGCTGAGAAAGTTAGGGCTGTTCAGCCTGGAGAAGAGAAGGCTGTGTGGAGACCTCATAGTATCTGAAGGGGGGCATGTAGGGATGCTGGGGATGAGCTCTTCATTAGGGACTGTAGTGATAGGACAAGGGGTAACAGGTTAAAACTTAAACAGGGGAAGTTTAGATTGGATATAAGGAGGAAATTCTTTCCTGTTAGGGTGGTGAGGCACTGGAATGGGTTGCCCAGGGAGGCTGTGAATGCTCCATCCCTGGCAGTGTTCAAGGCCAGGCTGGACAAGGCCTTGGGTGATATGATTTAGTGTGAGGTGTCGCTGCCCATGGGAGGGGGGCTGGAACTTGATCTTAAGGTCCTTTCCAACCCTAACTATTCTATGATTATAATACAGTGCTGTGTTTTGGCTTTAGTCTGAGAATAATGTTGATAACCCATGGCTGTTTTAGTTGTTGCTCAGTAATGCTTACACTGATCAAAGACTTTTTAGTCTTGTGCTCTGCCAGTGAGGAGGGGCACCAGAAGCTGGGAGGAAGCAGAGACAGGACACCTGATCCAAACTACCCAAAGGGGCATTCCATACTACAGCACTTCATGCTCAGTATAGAAACTGGGGGGAGCTTGGGTTGGGTATTGGTCAGCAGGTGATGAGCAATTGTATTGTGCACCACCTGTATTTACTTGTGGGTTGTTTTTTCCCCCTTTTAGTTTTATATTCTTTCCCCTTGCTATTTCCCTTATTGTTAGTAGTAATAATATTATAGAATCATAGAATACTTAGGGTTGGAAAGGACCTTAAGATCATCTAGTTCCAATCCCCCTGCCATGGGCAGGGCCACCTCACATATTATATTGTACTTTAGTTAAACTGTTCTTATCTCAATCTATCAATAATGAAATTGGTTCTCCCTTCAAGGCAGAAAGGCTACTCTAGTGCTGACTTTCACACCTGTGAGATACATCACATAAGGCTGAAAAGCTGAAGAAAACTGAAATTCAGAAATCCTGCCAGAAGTGCAATCAATAAACTCTGAATGCTATGTCTGAAAGTGAGGGTAGCCAATGAAGAGCTTTACAAGTTTGGTATATTCTCTTTGAAGCACACTACTTTAAAGTCAAGAGACTTTATCTCTTGAAAAAATAAAATAGAAAATGCTTGAGTGTACTACTGTTTAATACAATCCAGTCACATAGCCCAGGGCAGAAGGTGGGAAGAAATGATGAAAATAACTGAGAAAAATCTGAGGTACTCATGAATGTAGATAATACAGTATTTGTTTCACTTTGTTCTCACCATCTGTCTTTTCCAATTCACTAAATATTACATAGAACTGTATGATTACAGCTTCAGTGTGATGGGAACATATATTCGCAAAGACAGACATGCAGAAAATATTTGCATAATCTTCATTACAAAATTCTGTAATAAAAGAAGACAGTGTGACATGCAGGATTTGGACAACTACAGAAAAAAAACTGAAAGCCAGAAGAGGGAGGAAAGACAGCAAGTGGGGGAGAGGAGGCTGGCTGTGGCATGCCATAGGGCCAAGAAGGAAGCTGAATTGCTTAGGTCAATGTTAACTGAATCAACTTGCACATTAACCCACAATAATTTGAGAAATTAAAAATAACCTTCAAAAGGGGTTTTATTTAGTGACTGCATAAAAGAGAAAGACATCATCTGTTTAAGTAGTTTTATTACATACTGAAATGCTATCAATGCAATGAAATTTTTGCTTTTAGCTGTAGGAAGCACAGCTGAAGTTCAACATTTTCATGTGTGTACTTCACACACATAAAAATTAGACAAGTGCAGCAGGTAAGGAAGGTGGAAAACACTTGCTTCCAGCACAGTTGCACACAAGTATGCTTTCGACTTACCTAAAACGTTGAGCCTGCTGAGCCAGAGGTGCTGGATACCTTCTATTTGAAGAATGGTACAGCTGGGAAAGGATAGCCTGACTGGTTTTTTGGCTTGGATTGTTAGCAAACTTTACAGTGATGGGCTCTGTGGCACCTGGAGGCTTCTGGCCATTCAAGCCCTTGATAGCTTCTTCTGCTTCAATTCGCTTGTCGAACCGGATAAACCCTACACCCCTTGATGCTCCTGCATAGGTGGAAGGAAGCACGTAGTAATTAATTCAGAGACTCTGGAATTAGAAACTAACTTATGCCAATTGCTACTCTAATGACCAATTTCTGTGAATACATAATAACTCTGAGCTTACTGGACCTGAGCTTTTGCCCAAAATAAGACTTCTCCACTGGTTTTTAGGTTTGTTTTCCTTTAACTAACATAAGATATAATGTTGGAAAGTTGAGGGAAATTACAGTAGAGACAACTTAATCACAGTGAGCCAAAGGGTAATTCTGAAGCCAAGCAATTGGAAGAGGGATGGAGATGAATGTAGAACCAGCTGCACTGTAATCTCTGTTCAGTTCATACTACTCTGTAATATCTAAATCCACAGAAATTCTGTAAATAGCTTTGTCATGTGCTCCATAGTAGCAAGAAATGTCTTATGCTTTCCTGCAGCACTCCTTGAAATTCCCTTTGGAGCAAATATGCAGTGAGGATGAAGACAGAGTACAGGTTGTAAATTGCAGGAATAGTGTTATTGTGGCTCTGCTTTAACAGCCTGTGGTTACTTCTAAGTAAAAGATTCAATTTCAGCATACCACCATACTTCTGTAGGTGTTATTTTTAAAGGAAACTTTCATTAGGCCATGTATTTTTCCTTCATATAGAAAAAATCAAGGATGACATGCCAGGGTATCTGTAAGTGTTTATGGAGGGTCTTAGAACATCACAACTCAAAAGTTTACACTGTAGCTTAATTACATCAACACACTGAAGCTTCAATACTTGAGCCAATTAATATTAAAGCTACTACAGCCAACACTAGTTAGTTGCATGTTGTTTTGTAATATTCCTAAATCCATTTAGAGGCCTCTTTTTTTGGTTCATGAATAAACAGACAAGTTAGACACTTGTCCTCACTTGAGAAAGACATTAATGACAAGAAATGTATTCTGTTCATAAATAATGACAATTTTAACCAGCAAAATGACAATAAGCAGGAATAAGAAAGCTTTAGAGGCAAATGTCACAGCTTCAATTTTGCATTTCTCCTGGCAGTTGGTATCACAAGCTTATTATTCATAGCATTTTGAGCCTAGCTTTTCCAAATTACTGGGAAGGAGGAGGAAAGATTCAACCTGAGTAACATTGTATGCCAGAGAACTACTGTGCACATACTTGGATTTATGAGTACTTAAGGATTATATTACATATTTAAAAGTTCAATTATATTTACTTAGCTCACCCCTTTGTAAAGTTCCACCTATTTCTATCCATTAACATATAGCAATATACTCTAAAAAAGTTTCTTATTGCACAAAGACTGGAAATCTGACCTGCAAATCTACTGCATCTAGAAGTTACTATTTGGCCATTAGCTTTCCTTTTCCTGCCTCTCTACACTTTTACCAACTCACACTGTTAAAATACTTGAAATATTATGTGTCAGTATTAAGATTTCTGTTAACATAATGGAATTGCAAAGGACTATACATGAGGTCCTCTACAGGTCAGCCAAATGTTGAACAATGGCATGTGCAACCCTTTCAAAGTAAGACCATCTGAAAACTTTATGACCTCCTACAGTTGAAAGCTTTGTCACCCACGATACATGCAACTTTGAATAGGTACAGCTATTAAAAAAAAATTCAAGCTAGCTTATTATTACATGAGTATATTAATTCTTGTGTCCCACAGCCCTAGGTTTGGTTTTGGTTTGGTTTTCTGGGGGGTGTGTTTTGGTTTTTTTTTGTAGGTAAGAATTTTGAGAGCCCAGCTCCTCTGTACTTTGCTTTGAACATTCAGTACATCTGTCATGTACTCGGCATTTCATTTGATTGCTTATTTTTGGAACGGGCCTGCTGGAAGCAGGTGAGGCAGCAACTGATAAGGCTCCTCAACATCTGCCACTTAATCCAGCAAAATTACATGCACTACTTTCCAAGTCTGAAAAGTAACCAGTGTCACTGACACCCAATCACTGGTTAAGACACGTCCTGTAACAATGCAACTAATCTGCTACAGCTTAGTTCCTCAAAGACAGAACTTAACTGTTCCTAGGGAGCTCAAATTTCATGTTCTTCCATGTGCCTGAAGTTAATGAGGCTACCCTGAAAACAGCAATTACTAGTCAAGTCTTCTGTATCCTAGCCTCAGAGAACTAGCTTTGCATTTGCACATGAAATTTTACTTTTATAAAAATGTGTTTAATAGCATTGCATAAGGTGCATAGGGACTCCTTCACACAGCAGCTTGCAAAGGAAGATTACAGCAGCTGTAAATTTATTACAAGCCATGAAACAGGCTTCAAACCTGTACCTTCAGGATGGAAATGACTCAAGCTGGTCCAGTACAATCCACAATCTATTTTTGTCCATCATGCACATCTACAAACAACTCCATCAGAAAACTGCATTTTCTGGCTTGCATACACCTTTCATATAAGACAACATGGTCGTACTGAAAGGTGAAATATTTTTAAAACTTCCAGTCCAAAAATGAGAGGAAGTGCAGAACTGCCTACCTACCTGAGACTTGATCAACCAGAATACGAGAAGTAATAATGCGTCCATAATGGGAAAAGAGCTGTTCCAGTTCCTTCTGGGTCATGGTTTTTGGAAGTCCACTAACATACAAATTTGCATCTCTGATAGAAGCTGAGCTTGGTCGCGCATAGGAAACCTTAGGAAAAAAGTAAAAAACCTAGACATCAAACACTTTTTAAACAGTTGAAACAGAACTAAGTAAGTTGTTCTGAGAGTCTGGAATGTTTTTAAGGGCAGCCAGAAAAGCTACCTTGCAGAGCCAGTTAAGTAGGGTCTTTTTGGAGCTGGCTTCTGCAAAAAAACTGAAAGAACACAACACAGACTGTGCAGAAGCAGTTGACTACACAAACTCATATGTAATTTGAGGAGTACTTTCAAATAAAAGGGAAAGCTAGGTACACACACAGCAAGCTTTTATGGGGAAAAAAAAAATGTTCTTTTAGCTTACTGTAAGATTACAAAGACAAGTTTAGGAAGATTCAAGACTGTTTTCCTTTTAATTGTCATTAAAAGTTTTTTTTTTTAAATGCAAGGAATAAAGATTTCAGATTCTAGGTCAAAACCACAGGCAGCCCAAAGCTCTTAAAGGTTTGCAAGTGTTTTTCAAGTGCTGTGTCCTCTGTACATCTGTTGAGCTTCCTGTCAAATGATATGCTATCATTCACTAAGTCCAGACACTCTTCTACATCACTTTTATAAGCCTAAAAATGAATGGCAAAAGTGGGAATGCAACTTGCATTTCATCTCAGCAGCAAGTTACCAATTTCTGCACCAGAAATAACACTTCTTATAACTAAGTGCCAAGTGACTGTGAGCTTCTCAAGTCGTTTTGATGGAGGTTTTTACTTGCTGACTCAAAGAGCCAGTCAGAAATATTTTAATATTATGAATTATGTTCTTCAACCCTTAGACACATGCTACAAAAACAGTATCTTGAAGATTTCACTGTCTCCTACAGAGTCTCTGTGTTTTATCCTTATTATAGGGAAGACTAGACCACAATATCCATGCATGTGGAACAGGACAAGACAAAACACTTTATTTGGGATTTTCACCGTAGAAAATATTAAGATAAAAAGGAGCCTCAAAAAGCAGTCAGATTTTTCTCCTTTCCTTCCCTCCCTGCAATGCAGGGACAGCCAGCTCTGGGAAGCTGAACTTAGCTCTGTAAATGTATCTTTCACCCAATACTTTTTGCATTTACTTTCAGATCCTCTGCCTGTATCATTTCCATGCATATCAGCAAACTCTTAGACTCCTATGGAACTACAGTAAGAGGCAACTGAGATAGAGCACCCTGGAGACTAAACAAGCAGTACCATGAACACTTCTGTGATTGTTCAAACTTTCACCAAAAAGCTTTGTGCAAGGGATCTCCCAAAGCCGGCTGAACAGGCCTGACCTACAAAACTTGTAGCTCTCCAAGATAATGCACTATCCAACACAGACCTCTGCAAGCCACAGCACCATGCTCTTCTAATGCAAGAGCCACACAAGAGCTAAAAACCTGTGTTCAAAGTGTTGGTCTACTGATCCCCCACACAGGCAGCTGGAGATAACCTCAGCCTTTTCTCCTAATTAACTTTTTTCGGAGATGTGCCAATTTGATTGCAATAGAAAAGCTGCTGATGTCCAGCCTTACAACAGGAATAACAGAATTTCCCAGTTTCCGTTCAGTTTGTTTCAACTGCAGTAAAGCCACACTGAAGAATTATTTTCCACTGGAGTTGAGCCCACTGAACTAAAGATTACTTAGCCCTCTTTTACATACCTCCTCACTTTTTTGTATTATTAGAAATGTGCACTAGGGAACTGTCCACAGAATTGCTCAGGAAAACTGTCATAGAATCATAGAATAGTTAGGGTTGGAAAGGACCTTAAGATCATCAAGTTCCAACCCCCCTGCCATGGGCAGGGACACCTCGCTCTAAACCATACCACCTAAGGCCTCGTCCAATCTGGACTTGAACACTGCCAGGGATGGAGCATGCACAACCACAGTATCACAGTATGTTAGAGATTGGAAGGGACCTCAAAAGATCATCTAGTCCAATCCCCCTGCCGGAGCAGGAACACCTAGATAAGGTTACACAGGAACGTGTCCAGGCGGGTTTTGAATGTCTCCAAAGAAGGAGATTCCACAACCTCCCTGGGCAGCCTGTTCCAGTGTTCCGTCACCCTCACTGAGAAGAAGTTTCTTCTCAGGTTTAAGTGGAACCTCTTGTGTTCCAATTTGTACCCATTACCCCTTGTCCTTTCATTGTTTGCCACTGAGAAGAGCCTGGCTCCATCCTCGTGACACTCCCCCTTTATATATTTATATACACTAATAAGGTCACCCCTCAATCTCCTCTTCTCCAAACTATAGAGACCCAGCTCCCTCAGTCTCTCCTCATAAGGGAGATGCTCCACTCCCTTGATCATCTTAGTTGCCCTGCACTGGACTCTCTCCAGCAGGTCCCTGTCCTTCTTAAACTGAGGGGCCCAGAACTGGACACAATATTCCAGATGAGGTCTCACCAGAGCTGAGTAGAGGGGAAGGAGAACCTCTCTCGACCTACTAACCACCCCCCTTCTAATACACCCCAGGATGCCATTGGCCTTCTTGGCCACAAGGGCACAGTGTCGGCTCATGGTCACCCTGTCGTCCACCAGGACCCCCAGGTCCCTCTCCCCTACACTGCTCTCTAACAGGTCGTTCCCCAACCTATACTGGAACCTGGGGTTGTTCCTGCCCAGATGCAGGACTCTACACTTTCCCTTGTTATATTTCATCAAGTTATTCCCCGCCCAACTCTCCAGCCTGTCCAGGTCCCTCTGGATGGCAGCACAGCCTTCTGGCGTGTCGGCCACTCCTCCCAGCTTAGTGTCATCAGCAAACTTGCTGATAGTACACTCAATTCCCTCATCTAAATCATTGATGAATATATTAAATAATACTGGTCCCAGTACCGACCCTTGAGGCACTCCACTAGATACAGGCCTCCAACTAGACTCCACCCCATAGACTACCTCCCTGGGCAGCCCATTCCAGTGCCTCACCACCCTAACAGGAAAGAATTTCCTCCTTATATCCAATCTAAACTTCCCCTGTTTAAGCTTTAACCCATTACCCCTTGTCCTATCACTATAGTCCCTAATGAAGAGTCCCTCCCCAGCATCCCTATAGGCCCCCTTCAGATACTTGAAGGCTGCTATGAGGTCTCCACACAGCCTTCTCTTCTCCAGGCTGAACAGCCCCAACTGTCTCAGCCTGTCTTCATATGGGAGGTCCTCCAGTCCCGTGATCATTCTTATGGCCCTCCTCTGGACTTGTTCCAACAGATCCATGCCCTTTTTATGTTGAGGACACCAGAACTGCACATAATACTCCAAGTGAGGTCTCACGAGAGCACAATAAAGGGGCAGGATCACCTTCTTCAACCTGCTGGTCACACTCCTTTTGATGCAGCCTGGGATACAGTTGGCTTTCTGGGCTGCAAGCGCACACTGAAGCCAGCTCATATTCAGTTTCTCATCGACCAACACCCCCAAGTCCTTCTCCATGGGGCTCCTCTGTATCTCTTCTCTGCCCAGCCTGTAGCTGTGCCTGGAATTGCTCCGACCCAAGTGTAAGACCTTGCACTTGGCATGGTTAAACTTCATGAGGTTGGCATCAGCCCACCTCACAAGCGTGTCAAGGTCCCTCTGGATGGCATTCCTTCCCTCCAGCGTATCAACCAAACCACACAGCTTGGTGTCATCAGCAAACTTGCTGAGGGCGCACTCAATCCCACTGTCCATGTCAGTGACAAAGATGTTAAACAAGACCGGTCCCAACACCAATCCCTGAGGGACACCGCTCGTTACTGGTCTCCAGCTGGACATTGAGCCATTGACCACAACTCTTTTTGTGAAGCCATCCAGCCAGTTCTTTATCAACCGAGTGGTCCACCCACCAAAACTATCACCATGATGGTGCCATGTAGAAAGCCAGACCCTTTAGCAAAAACTCATCCAGTGAGTATGATCAAAGTGTAAAAAATGAACCAACCAAAACACTCCACCACGAATTTGCTATGTGTAAACCCTACCTCAGCTTCCTATATCACAGGGACCTCTTCTATAAATCCAGTCACAGACATAACAATGGGCATTTTCCAAGAAAGTAATTCTCCCTCCACCTTTAAAAATGTCTTCGACATGTCTTGCAATTTTGTCAAGATACAGCGTGAACAGAAAGCAGCAGCTTGTTTTGTAGACTAGTTAGGAATTTTTAGGTTAGACATTCCATTTTGCCTTGGTTCTTGCCATTTACAAAAGTCTACGTAAGATTATTCCTAGAAGACAGTATCAACTATTAGAGTCAGATTCACTTATACACTGGAGGAACCTCCTGGACTGCGGCTGGGTTGCCGAGTAGTCCTTCCAGCAAACATCAGGGAAGTTAAAATCCCCCACGACGACCACGGCCTGTGACCGTGAGGCCGCTGTCAGCTGCCTGTAGAAGGCCTCGTCAACTTCCTCACCCTGATCCGGTGGCCTGTAACAGACCCCCACAACAGTATCACCCCTGCCAGCCTGCCCCTTAATTCTCACCCACAGACTCTCGACTCGCTCATCATCTGTCCCCGGACAGAACTCAACGCATTGTAGCTGCTCTCGCACGTAAAGAGCAACCCCACCACCCCGCCTGGCTGGCCTGTCTTTCCTGAAAAGGACATAGCCCTCCATGAGTATATTCCAGTCATGTGAGCTGTCCCACCACGTCTCCGTAATTGCCACCAGATCATAATCTCCCGACTTAACACAGGTTTCCAGCTCCTCCTGCTTATTTCCCATGCTGCGCGCATTGGCGTACAGACATTTCAGGGAGCGAGCCGAGCACACCGATTTCACCCTAGGATTACAGGAGGCCTCCCAGTCTTCATCAATTCCGGAGCGCTGTCTCACTGAGGCAAGCCGAGCTACAACCCCATCCCCCTTCAAATCTAGTTTAAAGCTCTCCAAATGAGCCCCGCTAATTCGTGCCCCAGCATCCTTTTACCTCTGTGCGATAAACCTTTCCCACATGCCAACGTCCAGGCCGGTGCCCTATAAAACCAGCCGTTATCAAAGAATCCAAAGCCCTGCCTGGAGCACCAGCCTCGAAGCCAATCGTTTATGGACTGCATTTTCCCATTCAGTCCCACATCATCAACAGAAGATGGAAGGAGCGAAGAGAAGATCACCTGAGCCCCAGAGTCTTTCACCATCTGCCCCAAGGCCCTGTAGTCTTTCTTCATCTCCCTCAGACTGCGGGAAGCAACTTCCCCTTCACCCGTCT